ATTTTGTGTGATGCTGCCTCATGCCTCATTCTTTTCTTTATTTCCGACTTCCGCTGGGAAAGAACAGAATAAATGCGGGGAGAAGGGCTGGCAAAAGGGCACCTCACTGTATAGAATACTGAAGAATTGGACAGCAAAACCCTTCAGTTTGCTTCTAACTAGTAGAACCTACTGTCGTTGGTTAACTTGAAGATATGATTGCCAACCCAGCAATGAAGAGCCGCTAAAAGACTGGACATGTGGAAATGTGATTAGATGGATCTGTAGACAACTGATCCATTAATCAATAATCTTTAGAGGGATTTCTCCATGTCAGCCTAGAAGGATATTCTTAATGGCAAGAGAGAGAGACCCATTCTTGACCTATCCTAGTCAATATTTTTCTGGAGACTGTTGAAAAGTCCCTATATCACTGGCTCATTTTGAGTCAACAAGGTAATACATCTACTAAATATATAAATAAAAATATCCATATTTCCTTATCATCTGCTAAATATACGTATTAAAATATAAAAAAGAAGTAGCTTGCCTTTTCTAGCTTCTGGAGGCCATCTGTACTCCTTGCCTTATGACCCTTTTCACCAATAACTCCAGCCTCTTGTCTCCGTAATCATATCTCCTACAACTAGCTCTCATCCTCCTGCCCCTCTCTTATATGAGCCCCTGTGATTACATTTAGAGCCTACCTAGATAATACAGGATAATCTCCCCATCTAAGTACCCTTAGTTTAACCACATCCCTTTGCCATACAAGGTAACATTCATAGTTTCTGGGGGTCAGGACATGGATATTTTTTTGTGGGGTCATTATTCAGGCTACCGTTGTCCCTTTGTGATGTGTTTCTCGGACTAAATTAAGAATCCGGTAATTCTTTCTCGGCATGAGTATTTAAGAGGTTCTTTAACAAAGAAGAGGGCATGATACCAGGAAACAGAAGAACCGTGTTCCCATACTGGCTTTGCTTCCACCAAGTTGTGTGACCTTAAGCTCATCTGACAAAATGTTCCGGGGGATGTTTCAGCTCTTCTCTGTAAACTGACAGAACCAGAGAATCTCCTGAATGCTTCCCATGTCTAAGATTCTGTGCTTCCTTAAGCCTAGCCACCTGTTTCTAGATGATATTTCAATGTAAAGGCAAGAGCTTGCTTACCATCTCTAATATTCAGAATAAATCTTGTTCACTTTTCTTTTGAATTCAAAATTCACTTAAATTTTGGATTTAGAATGTGCTGTCTGAGGACTTCTTGCTGTAAAAATCATGGCAAAGCTAGAAGAATCACCAATACAAGTGATTTTGCTAGTTAATTCTTAAATATCCTATCCAGTAGTATTACTTTAGTCTAAGCATCAAATCACCAGTCTTGTACATATTGGACACGTGAAGCACCGAAGGAATACACTAGAATTTCACGTGAGGAACTAAGAACAGTCGTTGCTGCTAGCTCCTTTGAGATACCGTCTACCACCATGGGCAGGTGCGATCCTGAGCAATACATTAAATAAGCCAAACAGAGGGTAAAGACCTTGTCCCAGAGATCTCAGTCTCAGGGCATGAATGACTGTTGGGAGCCATGAGGCCTGGTCAAGGGCACTGCCCCACTAGGTTAAGGTTTGAACTGATGCAGGCCTAATCCTGCCGAGGGCCGGACAGCCCCGCAGATAAGCATGGTCTGATAGCCTCTTGCATTTTCCTCTGATCCCCATATCTCTCTCAAACAAAGAGCCCCTTGCTTATATGCCGCCAACATCTCTCAGGCTTATGGGCCGGAGCAACTCCAAGGAGGTAGATTATTCTGTACCTAGGACAATGGAGAACTTTAGAGGTGTACCACAACAGACTGTTTCCTCCCTAGGTTGATGTTTTCCAAGGCTTTCACAGCCAAGCCAGTGATATACACCCTGCCTCCTGCAAAGGTAACACCTTCTCGTTCCTACATCTCTCCTATATACTTAGTTTCTCCAGATAGCTTCTCGTTTTCCATTAACCTATATCTTGTTTTCCTACGGTTCTTTACTATCTAGTTCATCCCTATAGCTTCTTGTTTTCCATTAACCTATACCCTGTTTTCCTGCAGACCCCAGAATAAGTTGCCAAAAAGCACATATTTGTGCTACCTCCCAAGGCTTTCTGAGGGACATGATTACTCAAGAAGCAAGACCCTGTCCCCCATCCCTGGCGCCAGTCTGTCCCCATTATAGCTTAGCTAGAATAACATGTGCTGAACAAAGGGGAGTTATCTGATGAGTGCTTGAGTCCTTTGATGTCCTTGTACGAATGTAACCCCCTACCCCAAGTAAATTGCCTATATAAGAAGCTCTAAAATCAGAATAAAGATGGAGATGTCTGACTGCTGACCAGAACTCGCTCTGCGGCTCTCTCATTCCTCTTGCCGACACCGCCCCTCCTTTGGGGACACCTGGACCTGCCGAAGCTGGACCCCAGCAAATGACACACTCGAGGATAGTCACTGAGTGCTGTCATCATTGCAGGGGTCAAAGAGGTGGCAAAGGGCTAAGGTTTTATTCTTTTATTATTATTTTTTTAATTTGTCTTCTCAGATAAGGGCATGGAACATGATCATTGATCCTCTAAAGAAAATAGGGCTAGTTTGGTACAAATCTCTCTACAGCATTAGAGTCATCCCACAAACACCCATTTTCAATGATGATTTACCGAGGGCCACAAAGAATAATTTGGAGGAAGTTTATAGGAAGGAAAGCTTTGAGAGCTGAACCAGAAAAGGTGCTTGAAAGTAAATCAAATAATGGCATACACTGAGTTATAGCATTTATTATTATGTGCAGATATGCATGGAATTTTGAACTAAAAGCCAAAGAAGCGAAGGTTCTAGAAACTCTCATGCACAGTAAATAAATTAACCCTTTATTCTCTTACTTTCCATGCTCCCTATATTTTGTGACTTGTTCATACACATGTACACTGAGAAGGACTAATAAGCCATGCTCTACCCTGGTACATTCAACTATTTGTGTACATGATTCAAATACATGCCTGCAGATTTTCTTCAGTCTCCTGTGGACACAGTCAGTGTTTCAAAGACCAAGAGTTCTTTGGGGAAAAAAAAGAAGGGTTGTGTGTGTTTATGACTGTCAAAGTTTCCTAAGCTTATTAAGTTGGGGTCCTGTGTCCTTTCCTTCTATAATTTGAAGATTATTCTAGGAATATGTTTGGCGAAGAAAAAAACCTGCCAAATAAGTCAGGGTCTGATAACTGTATTAATGACTACTCTAAAACCCCTGAGTTCAGTATACTATACCATTCAGAACCTAGTGTTACTTTCTACTTTAAAAGATCAGTTTTCCTTGCTGTTGTGTTGTTTTTTTTTTTTTTTTATGCTAGAAACAATACGGTATAAGGAAGTCGGCTTATCATGAGCAGGTCATCAGCTCTTGAAATATCTGCCCTTGAGAAAAAAAAAATATATGATTGGAATCCTGTCACCAAGGAAATGGTTTAAAAATCTGTTTATTTCAAATATTAGCTTCAACTAGTTATCTTTATTTTGCAGTGACTTCAATTCTTTTGCCCATTCACTTATTTATTACGTGGCCTCTACACAGTAATCCCTTAGAAAAAAGAATACCCTGTATTACTATGCAAACCTTAAATATAACTATATGTTTTTGTGTGTTCCCATGCTTTTTTAAAGAGCACATTTGTGACAGGAAATGAAGAATGGCATAGTCGGGGAAAAATTAAAGAGACACGATGTAATTATCCGAACTGGAATTAAGCCAATTAATAACCCGTGTGCTAACACTACCCTCAAAGTGCTGAAAATGCCGTCAGATATTTAAATGTCCTGGGTGGCCAAAGGCAGCCATCTTCGCCTCATCCATTTTCAACACCACACAGGGACATGCCTTACCCTGGCTTCAGAGGATGGCCTGCCACTTGAAGCGGGCTGCCGAATAGATACAGGTACAGATTATATAATCTGAGCACAAGATTCTCTCCAGTGATTGTGCACAGATTTCCACTTAGTTTTTAATGAAATCAAAATGCTGGTGTTGTATGCACTTGCTCATTTATTCAACACATCGTTACTGGATGAGACCTACCGTGTGCCCACCCAGCATCGTGGCTAAAGATACAGGCTTCAGAGTCCTGGATTTCCTCCCCAGCTCCACACCTGCTAGCAGCGAGCTCTTGAGCTCAGTTTCCTTTTCTATGAAATGAGGCTTCGTAGTGCCTAAATCTTAGGGGCGCCGTGACACGAATGTAGGGCACAAATGTAAAGTACTTAGCAGAGTGCTTGGCACAAATTAAGTACTCGGTAATATGTTGGTTATTATTATGAGCTGGGAAATAGACCGACGTCTGGGTAGAAAGAGATCAAACAGTCCTCAGATGATCTTTGAAGTCTGAATTCTAGAACTTGGGATGCTAAACTTGATAATCTCTACTGCCAACCCTTTCTCATCGAAATCTATATATTAGATCCTTGCTTTGCTTGAATATTTCTGTCCTGAACCTACGTGCTTTGAACACAACACACTCAGCACACCCGTAGTGTGCAGTTTTCTTTATTTACACCCTTATTTTATGCCTGCCTCCATAGTAATTACCATGTAATACCATCTATGGACTTTATATATGTTAGCTCATGTCATGCTCAAAAAAACCCTATGGATTAATAGTATCACCTTTTACAGATAGGGAAACTGAGGTTCTGAGAGTGGCCATGACTTCTGCAGTGTTGTAAAGGTCTGTTTCACTCCAAAGCTCATTCCCTTTTTCACCTGGTTCACCCAGGATGAATTTACTGAGCACTTCCCTGCTCTGCTCTGGGCTCTTGCCTATCTGGTGCTTTGAGGCATGCAGGAGGACCCACCAATGTGAAAACCAAGAGTCCTTCCTCCCCCTAAACTGACTGATTGTGGGCCCTGTGTTTTAGACGGGTCACAGCAGCCATTGTTAAAGCAGTTGATGTGCAAATTAGCTAAATGACTCTGGCTAAGGCTTCTCTCAGTTTACCTGCCCTCCAGTGGGCTCCCAGGTGCCTGACATTTCTTTCAGTTTTCTTCTTCCACCCTAAGTAGCAACAGAAGTATGACTGAGAGAGAGTGTTCACTTTTATATACACCACGATTCTTGTTTCAGGACAAGAGACTTAATCTGTGCAGGAACATCTGACGGCTCTGCTATCTTCATGAGCACCTCTTTCGCCCCTTTAAAACAAAAAAGTACCTTCCGTTATCTGTTGTCAGCAGGGAGATCCTTACTGAATATGATCATACGTTTCCCCCTCAAAAAAAGATACCATCGAGTATGTGGGCAGATAATACAGTTCCCCAAATTTCCTATTTTAGAAGCTCATTTCAGTTGAGATATCTAGGAAAAGTTGCCCACAGCTAATCTTCCAGGTAGCAAATCTCATCAGTGATTTAGAAGGGCATTGTAGGCTGAAAGCCTCAATCTTTCACCCACAATGTACCTATATTTTAAAAAATGAGTTATAGGAAAGAACGACATCTTCCTACATGGTGATACACAGCAGATGAGAATCGCAGACTCTGGGAGCAGTCTTTGTAGACGGACCCACTGACCTTCTTGAGCTTGGAACGTGGCAAGACCAACTAGCTCTATGTTGCTGAGACAGGGGCTTCTACAATGCTGTATTTTTCTGCTTTGCTCTGAGCCTGAATTAAGACTTAAATCCCTATCTCTAGAATTCAAAATGGACAAGAAAATATTTCCACGTAGCTGTTTAGGCATTTTAAAAACTGGAGGCTTGTGCACTCACTACAGAATGGAGGAATCTTGTTATTCTGGAGACAAGGGTGACATCCATACCTGTTGGGTCAGGGTCTGTGAAGGAAGCTGGAGGTTAGCTGGGATGACAGAAAGAGCACCAGCCTGGTGGGCCGCTGGGGCCCTGGGTTCCAGTGTCCTTGCTACTGCCTTTGAGATTCATTAGCCTGAGACTCTGGGCCTCAGTTTCCTCGTCTGCTAAATGAGGGCGTCGGGGAGATTGATCTCCGTGGCTGTTTCCGGCTCTGGTATTCTCTGGGTCTGCGAAGCGCCTTCGGTGTCTGCCATAGTCTGCCTTGCCAGCTCTGTTTGTCACAAAGATTAATCCATTTTAACTGTACCTTCGAGCGCTCCCGGGAGAGAGGATGGATGGATTGTTTTGCACCTATTATTACATCAGAACTTTTGCCTTTTTAGACGAGATCGTGCCGTGCCTAAAATCTGCCTGCCTGTCTGCCCACTGACTTTGTCTGTGCTGATGTCTTGCCACGGTGCCTCTTCTTCCAGCATCCATCTCCCTCCAAGATCTAGACTCGGCATCTGACTGTACCTGTCTTGTTCTCTGCAGCATCTGTCTGCTACACTCCTAGACCATCGTTAATAAACTTTCACACATTACACGCAGACCCTAATATGTTGGCACCCGCGCATAAATACCTACCGTTCATAAAACTCAGGGAGAAACTCCATTTTTTTAAAGACCTCTATCTAGTGCCATTTGTATTTGCACTTTTTGTTTAGTTGTAAGTTTTAATAGTTCCCCCTTTGAGGATTTGTCAGTACGAGCAGTATTGCTTATCAGAACACACCAACAGTCTTTTTGTAATATTCGCTTTTCCCCTTTGGTTCAGCCGAGCCTGCTGACAGATCATTCAAATTCAATTGTTTTATGTCTAAGCCGAACAGCTAATTAAAGTAGGGATGATTAACCTGACTGGCAGTGTCGCTCTCCCTCGCGCTCTCTCTCCCTCTCCCTTTCTCTCTCTCCCTCCCTCCTGTTCCAATCAGTCTTTTTCTCACACTCTCTCTCTCCTTCCGTGTGTGTCTCTCTCTCTCTTCCTCTCTCTCTCTCTCTCTCCCCCCCCTCCCTCTCTCCCCCCTCTCTCTTCCTCTCTCGGTCTCTCTCTCCCTCCTTCGGTTGGTCTCTCTCTCTCTCTCTCTCTCTCTGTCTCTTGCTCTACTGTTTTTTTTTTCCTCTCTCTCTCTCCTAAACGTGGTCTGCTTGCTGATGGCAGAATGGCACTCGGAGATTTGTGCATTGTGTCTGGTTTCCTACGGGCAGGCTGACCCAGTGCCTCCAGGGACTTATCAATAGACCACTCAGAAGAGACACAGACAGGAGAGAGGAGGAGGGGTGGGGGGAGAGAGAGAGAATCAATATCAAGAATAGAAGGAGCTCCGAAGCCATTTTTTTTTTAAAGAAGTATCGGGACTTGGGAGAGGGTGACAAAGAAGGTTTTTCAAAGAGGCAGTGGAGGAGGTTCTAATAAATTTGGAAGGAAACAGTTCCCTGTCTTGGGAAAAGGAGAACTCCTGACTGATTAGCATTCACACCAGGTATGAGATGTTCGCTACCCCTTATCACTGTGTCGCAACCGAGATGGAAAAGCCTTTTTTTTTTTTTTTTTTTTTTAGGAGACTGAGGGAGCATGTATTTCGCTGTGTTTGTTGTTGGGGGGTAAGGGGGGTGGCGTGAGATCTGTGGGCATTTGTGTATGGGAGCAGAAAGAATGGAAGCAGTACAACGGGGGGTGGGAAAGAGTATGGAGTATGTTACTGTCTTCCCTGTCTTTGTGCACCCCTGGGGGGTTACCCAAGTTCATTTCTAGCAGGTGGATTTGGACGGGAGTTACTTAACGCTTGACCGCCAGTTTTGAAAAAAAAGAAAAAGAAAAAAAAACGTTCCTTCCTATGTCTATTAAAGGAAGCTCCAATTTCTCTCTCTCTCTCTCTCTCTTCCCTTCTCTCTCTCTCCCCCTCTCTCTCTCTCTCTCTCCCCCTCTCTCTCTCTCCCTCTGCCCCCCCCATCTCTCTTCCCCTCTCTCCCTCTCCCTCTCTCTTCTTTTTTTCCTCTTCTAACCAGACAGCGGGAGGGTTCCTGGCTCCCAGCCAGCCCAAAAGCCTCTAAGTGTTTTGCACTTGTTTCAGGGAGTAGCTGCCCGGGGATTTTTCAGCATTTTCACTAGAGAACAAAGAGTTCTTTACAAAGGGAAGGGGTGGGGGGGGAGTGAGCTTAATGTCTGATATATGTTTTTCTATTTTTATTAGTTTTTTGCCTAAAAAGAAAGAGACAGGAACAGAACATTCACTCTATAAAGACACAAAGACATTCAAAAGAAATCGAGTTATCTTTTCTACCCATCACCCCAATATGTATACATAAAAAATAAAAAGGAAAAAGACTAATGAAGTTGGATATGTTGCTCTTTTCTCCTCTTTTAATCTTTCTAAATCCAACTGTTCTTATGCTCACTCTATATGCTATTTTTTCTACTCACAATAAAAGTTGTTCAGGATGCATCTTCTCTTCTCTCTTTACCCCTTCTGGGTCCCCAAAATCCTGTGGAGGAGAGAATGAGAGTACAGCTAATAATCGGTGTAGTGGCGAGAACATCTTCCACTTTCGCCACTTAGGTAAAAAGTTAATTAAGGAATTTGGGCTCCCCAAATACCAATGGGGTGCATTAGTTCCTCCAGCCTCACAAGTTCTTGCATGCATCTGTTTGAAAGGTACCGCCTGTGTCACTTGTCAGTTATTAAGAAGAGGTACTAAGGGAACAGATAGTTGTATTTTATTTTGGTTTCCATCTAATTACGTCAATGACAAAAATCCCCAGAGAGATTACTTGCCCCATCCATGATACACTAGTTTAAGCGAAATGTGGTCTGGACAGAGATTTTTCTACGATTCTGATTGCCATGTAGCTTTGTGTTGGCCACTTGATTTTTTGCCTGTGCTTGTATATTTTTACCATGAATTTGTGTTTGTAGCAAACATTCCAGAATGCTTATCATTTTCAAATTAATGCTCCGACAAAAGGAAAAAGAAATCAGCGTGTGAACTGTATGTGCAAAACGTACTGAGCAATCTCCTCATTTATAAATGGGTTTACATCTCTATACTAATATTCTTGAATTATAAACTCAAGAAAATGTTTTCTTTCTAAAAGTTCTCCCCCTAATGCATTTGTATCTCGATTGTCATTTGGAAATCTTCTTAAGGTACATAACAGACATGAAACTGAAAGAGGGGAGAAAATGCAAAAGCACTAGAAAAAAATGCTTAAATATGTATTATGTACAGTACCTAAGTACAGATAAGTGTTTTACTAAGTGAAAATGAGCTACAACAGTTGTTTCAAGATTCAGAAACTCTTTTCTTTCTTTTCTTTTCTTTTTTTCCATTCACTGAAAATATAATCTATTCCTGTCCCTGGGGAGAAAAGCTGTGGGGAAAATATAGATATATACATTTTTCCATATTTTTAGAATGCATTTATGTAACTGCTTCTTAAGAGTGTAACACATATCAGGGGAGAGTGTGATGTCTACTAGTCAGTAAACCCTTCTGGCTGGGAGGTGTGAGCGCCTTATGTTTGAAGTAACTTGATAACAAGGAGTCTTTTCGGGAAAACTTACTGTGTATGTGTTGCCTCAGTAATGACCCTCAGAGAAAAAAACAAGAGCTAGGTGGCCACTTGAACTCTCTGAAAGACATTAGATTTAGGGGACCTTTTGACAAATCCAAAATTTTTTAGGGTAGCTCCCTTCTTATAGTTGTGTTTTCTTCGGGAAAATTCTTGTATTGCCTCCAGACTTTTCTATCTTTTTGTAAAGATTTTTAATGCTTCTAATAGTGCTTCCAGAGAAAAGGATCTTTAAAAAGAAAGTCATCAAAATAGGAGAAAGCAACTCGGTCTTTAAAAAGTTTTATATTGAAGGCAAGAGCTTCCCCCCACCCCCAATTTGGCTTGTTTCTGCTTTTTTTTCCCCCCGAACTCTTTTGTTGCTGTGGGCTGTTGTGCTTACAGTTTTGGTTTTTGTTTTGTTTGGGGTTTTTTTGCTTTTGCTTTTTTTGTTGTTGTTGTTGTTGTTGTTGTCTCTCTCTCTCTCTTTTTTTCTTTTTTTTTCAGCATGACCATGGGGGTCTGTGGAAGGGGCAGAAGGGGTATGGTAAGAGGCTGTTACTGAAAGCTGCTCTAGCCCCTCTTGATCTCAACTCAGGCAGCTCCTATCAGCTAGTTGTGCCGCCAAGAGTACAGTGAAAGGTGATAGCTGTCATTCTGGGATTCTTCGTGGATCTGACCTGAGAGTAACACATTCACAGTCGAGGAGAAAAGGGAAAAAAAATAGAGGAGGAGGAAAGAAAAGCTCTTTGAGCTGGAATACACTGGCCCTTTCTTCCTGTAGGCAATCCGCTCCAGTTCTTGGCGACGTGTCCTGCACTATCAGATATCATATGACTTTTTATTTAGATTCCTTTTCGGAGAATGGCCTGTTAGGACTCTGTTTGTTTTCTTTTATTTAATTTCCTTCTCCCCTCACCCGCTAGTCTTGTGTATCTGTGTGTGTGAGAGAGAGTGTGTGTGCGCGCATGCATATGTGTGTGCAATTTTTATCTTTGTTTTTGTTCTGTTGATCTGATGCTTTTTTTAAGGACAAAGCTTTAATTATTTCAGTATACTGGTTTAATCACTTGCCAAAAAGAAGCCTCATTTTAGGCTTTTTGGGGGGTCCATTTTTAAACGTATCCATTAACGCAGGAGGCTAGAGATCTGAAATGCCTGCTGGTCAGCCCTTGGCCCACTCCCTCACCTTCGAGTAAACCTCCCTTCATCAGCATGCAGGGCAGTGGGAGTTAGGAAACACCTGTGCTGAGTTCAGAGGGAAATAAAAGTAGAAGCAACTTCTTCAAATCTGCACTCCTAGTTTCACTTTAATAAACTTTTTTTTTTTAATCGTTGGGCTTTTTTTTTTTTTTTTTTTTTGGCACCCTCTGTTGCATTTGAAAGCATCAGAGATCCTGAACGATGTTTCTGTGGAGCTTTTGTGAGGTCCGCTGGGCACCCCTGGAAAGTAGAGCAGGGGCTGAAAGTCATTCAGAGACTTCGGAATTAAGTGGGAGATTTCAATAAGATCTGTGAGAGCTGTGGGCCGTGCAGGGTTTGGTGATAGATGGTGAAATGGAATACTTGGGGATCCTCAAGGAGGAGAAAGAGAGAAATTCCCAGGCAGGGGTAACACAGGCATTCCTGCTGCACTGAGTACTTTGAGAATCACAGTCAATCACATTTTTATTTTATGTAAGTTACAGTTTAGCCAACTGATAGGCGATTACCTTCTCTCCTTGCTTCCTATATAAAACAGAGGAATTAAAATAACATTATTCCAGGATTTCTCCTAAATTTTCGATGATTTTTCTTTTTCAGTTTTGGAGAGTTCGGATTTTAGTTAGCGAAAGAAAAACATAACTTCTCTAGCTGTTTAAATGATTGGTTTGCTTATATGTTACCTTATCTATACATGACATGATATATCCTGTTTGTATGAGGATTTTTTTTTTACATAGTAACAAGCCAAGCTGCTCTGAGCGTTCAGATGACCATTACATTCTTTAAGCCCATAGTTCTTAGTTCCTTGTTACTTTCTCTGAAATGATTTTTCACAGACCTTCAATTTCTAATGCTTATCTCCGCCAGAGGTGAGTTCTGTTGAAACTTGGAGGGAAATTTATTCCACCCCTTTAAGAGTACCCAAAAGGGAAGGGAGAACTATTTTTCGTTCAACAAAAAATTTTAGAAGCCTTTTTCCCCCAGCGGAAAACTCCAAAACAGCTTTGTCTCAGAACGTTAAACTTGGCATGGATAAGAAATGTGAGTTTTGCTTTGTTTGAGGAAATTTGTTTTTGAAACAACAATGTTATAAATATTTTCAAATTGCCTGCTGAGCATGCGCTGTATCTGACTTTATTCA